CAACCATTGACAACCAGCAGTGATCACTACGTACTAGTGACTACCGGTAACCAGAAGTGTCCAGTTACCAACGGGATTCACCAGGTAAGCACCGAGGATCACCAGTAACGAAGAATGTTCACCAGCACACGTTAGTTGCCACCAGTGTTCATCGGTAATCATCAATGTTCAGTAGTAACACCGAAAAATAAGTTCAGCAACCCTTCGTGTCCTGTGTAAGTCAGCCTTCGTGTCCTGTGTAAGTCAGCCTTCGTGTCCTGTGTCAGTCAGCCTTCAGTGTCCTTTTCACCACTCATCATTTTTCGCTCATACAGTAATGGAATATTGGTAATATATACGGTGTCTCAAACGGAGTGGATATTGACGATCTGGGGTCGCACCACAACTCTTTGAAGGAGAATTCAGTCTCTTGATGCTCCAAGGAAGGCCACCGATTAAGTGAAAACTGGATAATCTTATCACCCTGGGCTTAGAACACGTTCACGCTGGCTGGGCGAGGAGCTTCGTTGTGGCTCTCACAGTGCAAGACTTAAGCATCTCAAAGTTACTACGGGAACATTTGTAACGCTTACTGTAGCAAAAATAGGTATCCAGAACCTCTTTGAGACTATATAGGCTTGACGCAAAATTAGACTGCAAATAAGCTTCTAGACGCGGACGTGAACGACAAATCATTGTTTCATAGGTAATAAGATGCAACATCGAGGATCGAAATCATTGAAAAAAGTCTTCTTTGTAGCTTTCTTGAAAGAGACTCCAGCATCTTGACGCTGTAAATATAAGAGTACTCGAGCGTCTTGATGATGATTGCATGACTCGTTTCAGCTTAATTGGTCCATATCAAAGCCTTTTAATGCAGTTTGGATGATGCCGAGAGGACCGTGTTATTACCTTCACTTGATACCTAATATATTCATTTCCATTTAACAGAATAATTTTCTCGATGTTAGCTAGGCTGAAGGAAACCAACATCCACTAGGGTGTTACTTCATCTTTTTGCGCTGCTTCTGACATTGTTACTCATGTCAATGTCACCTTCATTGTGATGCCACTTTCACAGTGATATGTTTAGTGCCATGTCAGTCACTTGTAACTGTAATGACACTGACATTTCTCAGGAAATGTTATGTGAATATTTGTGTTACGAAGTTGACTGACGTCCTGGAGTAAACAGTGCTGTCTAGGGGTAAAACTGGTATTATTAAAATATAAAAGAATGAAGTAAACGAACCTAGAACCCATATTTATTCATAAACAATATCAACGAAATTACTAAACGTGTTGTGATACACTAATAAAATATATAAACAACAACACAAGTGCGCTTCGAGGAAAAAAATTTCCCGACACATTCTGCTGGACAGAAGTGATATCTGGAAACTCAGTCGTAGTAAACAGGAATAAAATCTGCTTTCATGAACGAATTAACACAGCTTGTAACGACAAAGGTAACTGGTTGACAGAATTAATTGCCGATATGTTGTGCATATCTACAACCAGATTTATGTTCTCATATACATTAGTTGGTTTAGATAATGATGGTGTATTGTAACAAGGGTACATTTTCCAGGATTTGATTAATCATTTCAGTTTACTGAACTTCTCAACGTGGTAGTATCATGGGCATCCAAGTGTGCAATCAGATTTAAAGGTGAATATTCAATCCAGCCTATTGAACAACTATTGAACAACTATTGAACAACTATTGAACAACTATTCATTAGCGTATGCATTTATGATTACTTCCTCAGAACATTTTTTACTAAAACGTAGTTATACCTCCGTCCTGTTTACAGCTTGGAATAATAAGTTCTTACTTACCATGGAGTGTAAAAGTTTAAAACTTTGTCTACACTGCAGTAGACAGAACTTGCCACATGAATAAGTAACAAAAGGTCCGACTTGAACTTTGTAAATGATCCAAGTCGGGTCGAAACGTCGTCGTAAGCTCCTCTCTCCTATGTGCGGGTTATTTGTGTAGAGTTACAATAATATTTTGGCTTGCATGCAAGCTAGAAATGTCCAGCGTGAACGTGTATCTGGATGAAAGAGAGTGATCTTTTTCCTACAGATATCACTCACCAACTAGGCATATCACGGCACACCGTGTATATCACGGCACACCGTGTATATCACGGCACACCGTGTATATCACGGCACACCGTGTATATCACGGCACACCATGTATATCACGGCACACCGTGTATACATGGTTAACCAGATGATACGAGGAAGGTAACCTTCACAGACGAGCCAGAAGAGGAGCTCCCAATAAAACGTCAGAAGAAGATCGATCAATAAACGAAGCTGCAAAACCGAATCCATATAAACTATTATCGGAAAAATGATGAATGAACTGAACTTGAATGTTATATCAAGGACTGTCAGAAATCATCTTCATACTGCTGGAATACACCACCGAACGTCATTAGTACAAGAACCGGCTAACAGACACTGTGAGCCTCCTCTACAAGTTGTACAACAATTGGAAGAACTATTCGAGACGCAACTGAAAGAACGATTCGAGTTGTGTTTTATGGACAGATGGAAAAATAACTTCGTTCAACGTCCCATAGAAAAATATTCTGCTGAAGAAAGAATAAGTGTAGGTGCTTAATCAATGACCAGCCTGTTCATTACTGAAGCAAATTGTGAAATGTTAAATCGTCAGCCACATTTCACATATTTCCTCTTTTAATCCAACTTCATGCATTTTACATTTCCAATTAGAAAGAATCGTGACAACATCTGCGAAGTAGCAATGAGTGGCCACGTAACTAGCAACATATGGGGTTGGATTCATTTCACGATGTGGAAGAGCTGGCCAAGACTGAGTAAACATTTACTGCTGACCAGTATCTAGAACACTGGACGAAGTCATGTTTCCCTCCATTGCAAATATTCTTCCATTCCTTGAAATAATCGTCTTGATGACAGATAACTGTCTTGTGCCAGAATTATGCAGCAGTGATTCCAAGGACACCCAGGAAAGTGTGTGACGCTTGTACTAGTACAAGCTCTGTTACAGAGTACTAGCTCTGTTACAGAGTACTAGCCCTGTTCCTTAAACACTGTCGGTGTTCCGACAATGTAACTATAATATAGAATAGTGTAGCAGCACACTGCGTGTTTAAACTATATGACAGAAGAAAGCTTGTCAAAGGTGACCCTATTTCCAATAATGATGCTAATAATAATAATAATGATAATAATAATAATAATAATAATAATAATAATAATAATAATAATAATAATAGTAATAATAATAAGCCTAAACTCTTAATCCAGAAGGGTCACACAAGGGTGCAGAGAGGGATGTGCTGTAGGGTGAATATGCGAAACTTAACAACGAGTGAGGGTCAGCAGTGTTTTACGATAAGGTTATTGGAGAGTGCAAAAAATATAGTCAAAGTTGGTGCAAAAGTTGATTTCTCTTAAAAAATCAAAGAATTGCATGAATGTTGGGACCTTCAGCGAGGAGTACAGTCAGGGTAAGTACACTGAAGCGATGACGTCGTATGTAAATTCTTACTGTTTATTTATAGAGAGGACAGTCTACTATGATAGTGAAAGGGTAATTACTGTTGATGGAAATTATTCTTGTGATTTCCGTAGTTTTAAAAATAATACTTTAAACATAATTTAAAATAATTGACAATAATATGTAGGCAATTTTTCGTTAAAGAATATATCATTTAAATATTAAGTTTTAGATTTTTTAATATACCGGCTGTCTCACACCGAGGCAGAGTAACCTGAAAAAGAGGAAACACTTCCACCATCACTTACTCCATCACCGTCGTGCCAGAGGCGCTTCAACACTTCTGCTCAGATGCCTCTCCAGACTGGAATATCTCTACTTCACCATCAGACACTCTACTTCCCACCTCCAGGACTCGAGTCCTGCTGACATGTTAAATTGAATTCCTTCATAAATGTTACATTGCTCGTTGTATGTTTAATTCCAATAAATACATTTGAACAAAATTTACTCTAAGCATTACAAAATTTTCAGTATATCAGATGATTTTTGTACTGCACGGGGAAGAAACAAACAATTTTTTAAATTGTATTATTCACTGATAACTGGTATATACAGCAGCATTTAGCATTCAGTTAAATTATGCATTTTTTGTAGTTTTTTTTCAGTTCTTTTTATATTATTCATATGTAATTTTTAAGAATGCAATTAAAAATATTTCTTTTTAAATCTCACATAATGGAACTCTTCTTACACTTGTCTAGAAAATAATGGTTCGATTTTAAGGATATTGTTGAAGTTGACATCATGACAAACACACACACACACACACACACACACACACACGCACACACACACACGCATACACACATGCACACACACACGCATACACACATGCACACACACACACATTGGAGTATGGGACACCAGTTTGGAACCCACATCTAGCCAAGCACGAAAAGAAACTAGAGAAAGTGCAAAGGTTTGCAACAAGACTACGAGGAGAGGTTAAGGGAAATCGGCCTGACGACACTGGAGAACAGGAAAGGCAGGGGGGACATGATAACGACATATAAAATACTGAGAGGAATTGACAAGGTGGACAGAGACAGAATGTTCCAGAGATGGGACACAGCAACAAGGGGACACAGTTGGAAGTTAAAGACTCAGATGAATCACAGGGATGTTAGGAAGCATTTCTTCAGTCACAGAGTTGTCAGAAAGTGGAAAAGTCAAGGAAGTGATGTAGCGGAGGCAGGATCCATACATAGCTTTAAGTAGAGGTATGATAAAGCTCATGGAGCAGGAAGAGTGACCTAGTAGTGACCAGTGAAGAGGCGGGGCCAGAAGCTGTGATTCGACCCCTGAACCATAGCTAGGCGAGTACAACTAGGTGAATACACACACACACACACACACAACACACACACACACACACACACACACACACACACACACACACACACACACACACACACACACATTTTGCAATCAGAAAATACAGTAAAGGCCTAACAATTTTCCCTCTTATAAATTATATTTACTCACAATGTTATTTAGGCTACACACAGCAGCTGATTTTTTTTAATGGAAAATAGCACAAACTTGAAAACAGGAATTACACAGTATGCATAAGTACAAATATAAACGATCTGATGTTTTTACCACAGTTGTGTGTGACTGTGGATCCCTGTCATCCGAAATACAGGAAGATGTGAATCGTCAGGTTTTGACGGGAATTCTCTGTAGTAAACACTAGGAGAACGCACGCGATATTGGTCCTGATGGAAATACGTCCCAGCCATGCCTAGCTAACACCTTATGCTCACTGTTTATTGTGTGATTTTGTTTCACATTGTGTAATTTTGTTTCTCATTGTGTAATTTTGTTTCTCATTCTTAAATAATTTCCGTGCCAGCTTATGCTTAGCTTTGTCTTACATGCTTTTAAGATATTTTCTCTCACAGGGACAGATACGAAATTCACCACACCAGATCATCTTGTACAAACACGAGAGAATCTAATTCACTTCACATATATTTCATATCTTTCCTTGAATAAGAGAGATGTAGGTCAAGTGTCTGTGAGAGTGAATCTGTAAACACTATTATGGATATGATGGTAAGATTGAAGAACGTAGAGATGTGATAAGATCATTGTTTGTCTTAACTGCTGGCATCTTGGTACAGGGAACAGTGTCAGTGTTTTATCAGCACTCGGTTAGAGAGCTTTCTCCGCCGTCCCACTTTTAAATTAGGTAATCATCAACGTGATGGTCTGTACATTTAGTGAACACGCAGCGAAGCTTGTACATTGCTCTATGAACGTTTTAATGCACACATTAATAAAGCGGGCTGTACACCCTTCATACAGAGTGCATAGCTAGTTTATAGCTCTCCACTAAATTCATAAGCCACATAGCTTATACACATCAGTAGAGCTAAAACGCCGGTCCTGCGCATTCACTAGACAGCGCTCTCACTTTCAAAAGCAGGTTGAAACTTCCTGGGATGATGGAGTGTAGGTATATAGTGGCCGGCTTGCTGGTGCTCGGTAAGGTGCGTCGGCAACTGGATGAGTTGGCTGGGACCTTGATCCAGTGGGCGCAAGAAGGCAGAATGACGCTGGGGATTAACTACGTTGCACGTAGACAAAGACGAGCAGTCAGGCAAGTACTTGTCAACACCCACACCACCGCCCACACTCACGCCCCAGTCAACGCAGCCACTCAGGTCCCCGCCCACTCCCACACTAGGCTCAGGAGCAGTGTTCCGCACGCCCTCAGCTACCAACCATTCGCCACCACCCTGCAATATAACAACAAATACAAAATTTAGATTGCAACAAAAGATTCACTGAATGAGATCTAATGCTCACAGATAACGATGTAACAGACTAACTAATCAGGTGTTGGCTGCAGTTAGAGGACTGTCCAACCTCTCGAAAACCCGCAGCCCTTTACTAGTTTGTGAAACCTGAATACTGTTTCAATGTTCCCTTTTATTACTGGTGGTGAAAAATTCTCTTATTAGGAGAAGCTCGGTTTTATTAGTAAAATACACAGCATTCCTAATGTGAAACATTTTGAAACACGACATGTAAAAGACGACTGAAGAAAGACGTACACACATACTACTACATTAAATCCTACACACGTCTTCTGACGTCCAAGCCGCTACAACAACTTTTTCCTTGCTCTCATTTTTTTCCCTCTTGACATTTTATTTCTCTAAATATTTAAGAAGCCGAAACCTAAAGGAAGGTGGCGTCCACCACCTCAAGGAAGGTGGCGTCCACCACCTCAAGGAAGGTGGCGTCCACCACCTCAAGGAAGGTGGCGTCCACCACCTCAAGGAAGGTGGCGTCCACCACCTCAAGGAGTGGCGTCCCACCACCTCAAGGAAGGTGGCGTCCACCACCTCAAGGAAGGTGGCGTCCACCACCTCAAGGAAGGTGGCGTCCACCACCTCAAGGTGGCGTCCACCACCTCAAGGAAGGTGGCGTCCACCACCTCAAGGAAGGTGGCGTCCACCACCTCAAGAAAGGTGGCGTCCACCACCTCAAGTAACTTGGCGTCACAGTGACACAATAGTGTTATAGTGACGACACAGTACTGAGTGTTATAGTGACGACAGTACTGTTATAGTGACGACACAATACTAAGTGTTATAGTGATGACACAGTACTGAGTGTTATAGTGACGACAGTACTGTTATAGTGACGACACAATACTAAGTGTTATAGTGACGACACAATACTAAGTGTTATAGTGACGACACAGTACTGAGTGTTATAGTGACGACACAATACTAAGTGTTATAGTGACGACACAGTACTGTTATAGTGACGACACAATACTAAGTGTTATAGTGATGACACAATACTAAGTGTTATAGTGACGACACAGTACTAAGTGTTATAGTGACGACACAAGACTAAGTGTTATAGTGACGACACAATACTAAGTGTTATAGTGACGACACAGTACTGTTATAGTGACGACACAATACTAAGTGTTATAGTGATGACACAATACTAAGTGTTATAGTGACGACACAGTACTAAGTGTTATAGTGACGACACAAGACTAAGTGTTATAGTGACGACACAATACTAAGTGTTATAGTGACGACACAGTACTGAGTGTTATAGTGACGACACAATACTAAGTGTTATAGTGACGACACAGTACTGAGTGTTACAGTGACGACACAATACTAAGTGTTATAGTGACGACACATGTACTGATGTTATAGTGACGACACAATACTAAGTGTTATAGTGACGACACAGTACTGAGTGTTACAGTGACGACACAATACTAAGTGTTATAGTGACGACACAGTACTGAGTGTTATAGTGACGACACAATACTAAGTGTTATAGTGACGACACAGTACTGAGTGTTACAGTGACGACACAATACTAAGTGTTATAGTGACGACACAGTACTGAGTGTTATAGTGATGACACAATACTAAGTGTTATAGTGACGACACAATACTAAGTGTTATAGTGATGACACAGTACTAAGTGTTATAGTGATGACACAGTACTAAGTGTTATAGTGACGACAGTACTGTTATAGTGACGACACAATACTAAGTGTTATAGTGATGACACAGTACTAAGTGTTATAGTGACGACAGTACTGTTATAATGACGACACAATACTAAGTGTTATAGTGATGACACAGTACTAAGTGTTTATAGTGACGACAGTACTGGTTATAGTGACGACACAATACTAAGTGTTATAGTGATGACACAGTACTAAGTGTTATAGTGACGACAGTACTGTTATAGTGACGACACAATACTAAGTGTTATAGTGATGAGACAGTACTGAGTGTTATAGTGACGACACAGTACTGAGTGTTATAGTGACGACACAGTACTGAGTGTAATAAAGTTGGTAGAATTACCGACAATATGTAAAGTAAAAGGACACAAGTGCAACTAATGTGACATTTATTGTGGCAACGTTTCGCTCTCCAGGCTTGATAAAGCTCCTGGAGAGCGAAACGTTGCCACAATAAATGTCACATTAGTTGCACTTGTGTCCTTTTACTTTTACAGTACTGAGTGTTTATAGTGATGACAGTACTGAGTGTTATAGTGATGACAGTACTGAGTGTTATAGTGACGACATAATACTGTTATAGTGACGACAACAGTACTGTTATAGTGATGACAGTACTGAGTGTTATAGTGACGACATAATACTGTTATAGTGACGACACAGTACTGTTATAGTGATGACAGTACTGAGTGTTATAGTGACGACATAATACTGTTATAGTGACGACACAGTACTGTTATAGGCTGGAAAATAAGTGAATATCAGCAGACATCTTAATTAAGCTGAAGAAGTAAATATTGTTGAGTGGGGTTGCAGGGGCGGTGACCCCTGGAATAGTCTTCAGGTAACCTTCTCCCTTACTTCTCGCAGCTTCCTCTCTCTCTCTCTTTCTCCTCTCTCTCTCTCTTTCTCCTCTCTCCCTCTCTTTCTCCCTCTTTCTCTTTGTGTTTCCCTCTCTCAAGTTTTGTTTATTCACTTAAGGGTTTTACAGGGTAATTTTAAGAATTCCTACCTTTATTTGCAAGCTAAAAGCTATTACCAACATCATCTCATTTGAAAGTCATTTTATTGTAATGAGGTATATAAACAGGGAACAGCATGAAGTTTAAGTCATCTGTTGGCCAGGACTTTCATTTGATCAACTGACTTTTCGTTGGTGTCGTTATGCTGTACGAACATGTTCCAAACTGAAGTCTTTCTAGCAATAAAAGACCTCAAACGAAGTGATGTTCTGGAGAAGTGTACAGTCAGGGTCAAGTTGCAATTTGCTGCCCGTCTTCTTGTATAGAAGCATTCTTTTCGCTGTCCTTGGAGTGGAGGTAAGTGTAGTACTTTAACGACTTTGCCCTTGTACATAACAGTATGGCCACCCACATCCTTCCGGTGTTAAAAGCTCTCCTGAAATGACAAATCTGTCCAGGCTGGGTCCATACGAGAGAAGAGTCGTCTAGCTCTGTTCTCTTTTCTGTCAAGAAGTCGCAGATGAGACGGGGAACAGGCGATCCAAGAAAGTGGAGTATACTCATGGTGTGAGCGTACTTTTGCCTCGTACAGAATCTTACAATTTCTAGTGTCGACCAGAAGAAAGATTTACAACGTGGTTCTTCATAATCAGTTTGGAGGCAAATTTCACCCAATGTTATCTACTTTGTCCCCAGGTACCAACACTCCCATTTATTGTCACCACTGTTCCAGCTTTACCATCATGGTGCCTAGAAACCATCATCATTTGTGCTTTCTCAGGAGAGAATGTGACCTGCCGTTATTTTCCCCAGTTTGATATAGCTGTAAGCTGGAGATCGATGTATCTTAGAGCAGCTGGCATTACCTCTCTGGAATAAGTAAATGTCAGAGTACAGTCGTCTGCACATGCAAGGGATTCTGGAATGAGTTGGAAAAGGTTATAGAAGTAGACATTCCATACAATGCCCCAAGCACTCTTTCCTGTGGAACAGTTCCTTCAAAGACGTGTCTTGTTGACTCTGTCCGCTTTGAGAACTTTTCTTAGAGATCTACCTTGAAGGTAATCGCTGAGGATGCATAGTGCACAGCCGGCGAATCCTACTGCTTGCAGTTTCGCCAAGAGTCCCTGGTGCCATACTCGGTGGAAATCACTTGCAATGTCCTGTGCTGCTACACAAATGACCTTGGATTCATCCCGTGACTGTTGCCACATAAGGGAGAGGTTTAACAGCAGATTAGCAGGAGAGTGACCTTTTCTACACCCATATTGATTGTCAGAAAGAAGCTAGTGGTAGTCGAGAAATGCCGTCATCTGCCGTGAGATTATCATCTCAAGAATCTTGCCAGTGATTGACAGGAGTGACACTGGTAAGTAGCTGCTCTTCTCTTCTTTTCGTGAACAGGGAATATATTTGTCTCTTTCCACAGGAAGGCCATTTACACTGTGCTACGCAGTGCTGATAGATACAAGTTAGAGGTGACGCTAGCTCGTCTGCACACTTGTACTCAGCAGCCTTGGGCTCACTTTATCTGGACCCACAGCCTTTTTTTGAAGAGATTTAAGGAAAAAATTGACTGCATCCTTTGACACAGTCCTTGCAGGATCAGGAACTTGCAAAGTGTTCAGCAAAGAGGTCACCTTTCTCCTGACTACTTGCATAGACGGTCCCATCTCTCTCTGTCCCCTCATCTCTCTCTCTCTCTCTCTCTCTGTCAATCATTCTACCACAGAAGAGTAGACATAAACTTCAAGAGTTATTTAGTGGAAGCAATTTCCTCATAATTACTGATGGCATGAATTTTTCCCGACATACCAATAGCAATATGTATTGGCACTCGATACGAAGAAATGAACCAAATATATGTGAGAGAATAAGGCAAACAGGAGGAACTTAAGGGTGGGCTGGTGCATAGATTAAGGCAAATAGAAAGGAGGTTAAGGATGGAACGGTGCATAGAACAAGGCAAGTAGGAGGAGGTTAAGATGCAGTAACTCTCTACACCCACCTTGTGATGGGGGTGAAGCTTGTAGTTATAAAGGTAGACCAACTGTGTATGGGATGGCAGGGAGCCGCCCCCCATAAGGACATCATGGTAGTAGTCAGCTTCTCCACTAACACCGCCTCCTTCTGAGGGCTCCACCATCAGGAGGTGTTGAGGAGTCTGTTGGGGGTGACCGGAGCAGAGGTTCTGCTGAGCGTAATGCTGATTCTGTAACTGATACATTTGCTCGTGCTGTTCGTGGCTCTGTATTATTCGTTCATTACTTACAAGGGGCGTGCTGGAGTCAGGCGAGTGGGTCATCCCTGCCGATTCTGCGGAAACCAGACATTGTATTAAAATGCTTTATTCATAACAGATAATCTGGTAGTTCTACAAACATGCTCTTAAGCAGCATTTCCTCTGCACGTTACCTAAACACGTATGTTTGGCTATAACAAAATATTTAAATGAGTCATTATTAACTGTAATTATAATTAGCTCCCATACAGGAAATTACATAATCAATTTATATACTTTATCTGGTAAAATATTATTGTTTAATAGTAGAGGGAACGAAGTTGAACAACAGACTGAATGATGATAGTGGCGAGAACACTATAACCTCTGCAAGATGACTATGTGATATGCCTATTATTTTCTATTTTAAGCATGACTATGGTGACCATTTTGATGTGTACAAATAAAAAAAAGCTGTCTTGTAAAATGTGTGCAGATATTTCAAATGACTTTTCAAACTGCAATATCCTCACCCTTGCTTTAACATGTTTGCTTTATAATTCACTCCTCCAGGTCAGGATGACCAGTTTAATTAACTAATCCCCATCAGAAATGTTACTTTACTCGCCATTTAGAGATGAGGGATACTTCAGGCCTTATCACTCAAAACCTCTTTACACCTCCCTCCCTCCAAGACTTCCTGGTACAACCCTTACTCCTCATCCCTTGTATCCTAGCTTTATAAACCCTCATGGTCGTCCTTAACTGCTCCATTCTTTATAAATGTCAGAATTTCAACAGCTCTGAATCATATCATTGGTAATACCATACCATATATCTATGTGGTCAATCCTATGCATAACATACACATAACACAGTGCTCTCAGACTTGGCATCTTCACTGCCTCCAGTCTCAATGTGCTATTGTATTCTTGAAGATGAAAATTAAGACACATGTGCAACATTTGAGTATCTTTATTGCAGACGTTTCACTATCCAGTGGCTTTATCAATGCAAATTCAAGGTCATGAGTGGAAGACAGTATAACTATATATAAAATATGAGGTAATCAATCTGTCTGATTACCTCATCTTGCTCTCTTCTGTAATTACTTTTAATTTCTTTTTGCTTACCATGCCTCCCAATTTCTTACTTTAATCTTTGCAACTTCTCTTCACAATTTCCCACAAGAAATTTCACATTGTATAAGATTCGAGATATTTAAACCTTACACCTATCGTGAAGACCACAGTATTCACTTCTTTCGCAACCCCTTTTATAAATATATTATACAACTATGGTGACATCATCCATGTCCAATGAACTTTTTTCATTCCCTAATCTAAGATTTATTATCCACAAAAATAAATTATTTACTGCTTTTAATTACCACCCTTAAATTTCATATACTTTCAATATCTGCCAAACTGCGCTCTTGTCCACCCTATAATATGTGACAAAGAGTTCCTTACATTTCTCTAAGTGTTGTTTAATTAATACTTCAATATTCTCTAACCTTCGTAAAGCCTTCTTGTTCTTCAGCAATTCTTCTTCCTGTCTTACCCGTTAGCCATTCAGTAATGATTCTACCATACACATTACCCGGTACACTCAAGATGCTTATTCTCCTATAATTCTTATTCTCACTCTCTTGTTAAGTTTCTCTCCTAATACAAAAGAGCTATGATTATTCTCAGTAAGCCATGAGGTTCCTTTCATTCTTCCATGCATTTACCGGCTATACAATTCGCTCCATTGTTAAATCCCCAGTAGTTTTGAAAATTACTGTCCCGGCTTCTTTACTCCCTTTCATTCTATTCACTTCCACGTATATGTTTTTACTGCACTGACATCTGGCTCTTTCTTAATCTTACAAGATTTTGTTCCTCCTTAACATGTAATCACTGCTTCCCTTCATGAAGATCTGACAACGCTTAAAAATAATCCCCTCCATCCTTCCAGTATTTTTACCTCCACATCTAATATCTCCCCTCTCATGTTCTCTACTACACAGCTTCTCAGGCTTCCCGAGCATATTACCTTCCCTCATAAAATTTTGATATTCTCTGTAAAATTAGCTAATAGACCTAATCCCATTTCCTTGTTGGCTCTCCTCTGGCGCTCCCTTAAAATATTTTGAGCATTTTTTTCTGTTCATGTGCAATGCCTTTCATATATATTTTCATCATTCAAAAAACTCTCATATGTTAACGTTTCTCCCCTACTATCCTCTTTACTTTATCAGTCTGTTATTTATCTTCCCACTCATTCCCATCCTTCTCTACTGTGATGCTACAATCTTAAATCTACACCATACCTTTGCACTTTCCTCAATATCTGTGTTAAACTCAAGGTAATCTTTCTCCAAGTAGTTTCCTAAATCTTCCATATCTTTAGTTCATTTATCTTTACTATTCTCTTACCTATTGATAATATTTTCCCTATAGTCTGTCTACCTCTTATTCTCATTGTAGTTACCACTGCCATCTAGAAGTCAATTTTTCACAATTTAAGCATTATCTCATGCCAAACCCGTTTCGATACAAAATTCGTTTACATGCTTTTACATCACATTAAACGCCCAGCATTCAAGCTTATCAACTATGTCATTTACAGTAGTCTTACCAACTTTAACATTTAGGTCTCTGTGAAGGTTTACTCAGCCCTGTAACAACTTCAGACAGTATTACCAAGGTTGGCTCCTCCTCAGGAAAATTAATGAATAGAAAAAGAAATAATTCACAAAGATAAACACTTTATTATTTAGGAATGCAAAGATAAAACATTGAAACATGAAATGTGTATCCTACTTTAAAGAAAAATGAAAAATGAAATGGAAAAATGACATTTGAATTCAACGCTAATATATACAGTTATACTGGGGTGTCTGGTTGAGGTTGACACCGTCTTGTAGAAATTGTAGCCGTTGCTGATGATGTGGGGGAGGGGGGAGGTCACAGGTGTTTAGTGACAACCCAACGACTAGTTCTTCACAGAGTCTATAGCCTTGAATAGTCAGTCCAGATGACAGGAACCACTGCAAAGATGAGTAGTAGTTGCCTGCGGGTGGGCTACAATGAATCAAGTAGGTAGATCAAAAAGTGACGTCTCCGGACTTCAGTCCGTCTCCTTCACGTTTCTTTGGTTGGCACATGACCCGAGCTGTCATTCCAAGAGTTGTGCTGGGAGCTGTGAGTCAAGTGATTACTGTTTGGTCCGAGCCCCACACATCACCTTTCAGGGTGGAGAAAAGGGAGGGGGGGGAAGGGGATAGCGGGAGCTAGACTGACCCTACCTTAACAAGCAGCCAGCAAACAAAGTATCATCACAATATACTCGCTTGCTACTCCTATCTGTTGAAATTTTCCCTCACAGTCTCCCACAATACTCATTCTCCTACTTAATTGAAAGCTTCCTAAATATTCCCTTAACATCTTCCAAACTCTCTCTCTCGTCCACAATTTCCTTGCGTCCAGGTGCTCAAACACTTAATAAACCTGTTTCTTACTTCTCACCATTATTCTGATGCACCTAATTCTTCAATTTTAAACACTTATCACTTCGTTTCTTTCCATAATATTATTATCATAATAAAAAGAAGCGCTAAACCACAAGGGCTATACAGCGCTGCAGGGCAGGAAGGAAGCGAGGGTATCAGGTGGCAAAAGAGAGATGGGCGAGTAATAGGTTATGGAGAACAGCGGGGCAGTGGATGGTGAAAGGGTAGAAGGTAGCAAGAGATTGAAGTAGAAAGGGCTGAGGGGAGTGCAAACGGTATCATCATCAGAGTTTGTGGAGTAAAGCAGTCGTTGTCAAGAAGTCAATGAGAGAGTCAGGATTAAAGGTGGGTCCATCAGCGAGAAGGGAAGGTAAAGAGAGAGCAGTGGAGCGACGACGTTGGAGGTAAATTCTGCGTGCTCGTTGATAAAGTGGGCAGTCTAACAGAATGTGGCTGACCGATACTGCAACCTGAAAATTCTCACAGAGAGGAGCAGGGCGCCTCTCCATGAGATATCCATGAGTAAGACGAGTATGGCCAATGCGAAGGCGGGAGAGAGTCGTCTCCCAACCGGTTTAATAGAACAAAGTTTGTTATTGAGCAGAGCAGACCAACATTGTTGCCAACGAGTGTGAAGGTGGGTAGCTATTACAGCAAAATACTCCAGAAATGGAACACCCCTATTTGAAATTGGTAGGTCATGTACTGCTGACTGCGCAGCAGTGTCTGCCTGTTCATTGCCCTGTACGTCAACATGACCAGGGATCCAACAAAAAACAATATCTTTATGCTTGGTAGAGATACGGCATAACCAAAGTTGGATACGGAGAACTAGGGGTGAGGTGTATCAAATTTCTGTATAGCCTGTAGAGCACTAGGGGAGTCAGAGACAACAACAAATGATGACACATGCATAGATGCGATACGAATAAGTGCTGCAAGAATGGCATACAATTCAGCAGTAAAAATGCTAGCCGAAGATAGTACATGCCATCGCAAGATGCTGTATGGAAACACTGCTGCGAATCTGATGCCGTCAGAAGATTTAGAGCCATCTGTGTACACGGTGATGGCATGAGAATGAGAGTGGAAGTGGTCAAGAAAAAGAGAGCGGGAAGCCACCATAGGCAGTTGGGCTTTCGAGCAAGGGAGTGAGAAAGAACAGTCCCGAACAGCTGGAACTTTCCAGGGGGGTAGGGAAAAGTGAGATGCTAAATGAACATATGAAAGCGGTAACTGAAGGGAAGACAAGAGCGAATGTAGGCGAAGAGAGAAGGGACGGAGCAAACAGGGGCAGCGAACAAATAAAGAATGTCTACTAATATCAGTGATCATTCTATAAATGGAAGGATTGCAAAGATCGTGAGAGCACACATAGTAGCGAAGGCAATGGGCATCACGGCGATCAGACAAGGATGGAACATTCGCTTCTGCATAGAGGCTCTCAACAGGGGAAGAGCAAAAATCACCAAGGCATAAACGTAATCCTTGGTAATGGATGGGGTTAAGGCAAGAGAGAGTAGCAGGAGAGGCCGCCGAATAGATCTGGTCACCATAATCGAGTTTTGATGAAATTAGGGCTGAATGTAGGCGAAG